AGCTGGATTCCAGAGAGCGATTTTTTTCCAAGACAAGTCCGGTAGCAATTTTCCGACCCCAGAGGGATAAGAGACTTGGTTGGCCCGGAACGGAATCAAACCAGTATCGTAGCTATAATATAGGAAAACATAAGATTAAAAATGTGAAACCTATTTTATTTATTCCTTTCCATGTATATTCACATTCACTTTCACCTTCATATAGATGACAGATCTACGAAAAGAAAAGTGGAGTTAAGTCCAAGAGAATGCAAACGTTGTCTTGGAAGACTACCTAAACGATGAGCGGACCTATTCGTTTCTAGCATTCAAATAAAACGATTTCAGACCTCCAAATCGTGATGGTGTTGAAGAGTTGGTACATTGTAAATGAAGCAATTCAGGTATTCCGAATTTTTTTGGACCCAAATACCGAAAACTTTTATCGCTATTGTCGAGATTCCTTCGAAAGAGTACGTAAATGTGTTCGTGTAGTACAACCACAGCATCATTGTTCGAAGGCGACAAACAGGGCGGTGTAACAGGATATGCTTATGAATGTGGTACTTGAAGAACTACGGACTCAATGTTTTTCATCAATAAGCATTCGCTTATGCGAATGCAAATCGAATTGTTAAGTTTATCTGCTAGGGTTGTGAAAGTGTTTGGCTGAGTAGATCACATCTCAATTTGACCTTTCCAGGCTCTGAAGAAGGCGAAACCGCCGAAACGTCAGCAATTGTGTTCTAATAAATTCTATATTAACAACCTCGTGTCTGCTTATTGATGAAAAACATTGAATTATCAATTAATGCCGAGGTTAACAGAAAGTCGGTCATGGGAACTACGGACTGTTTGAACTAAAAGAAATCGGCTATTTAGGTCTAAAAATTGTTGCTACCAAAAGACTCGCCTTTCTTTCCTGTCTTTCTTGACTCGCTTGTTAATTCTCTTCTCTTCCTTTCCAGAAAAAAATTCAGTGTTAAGCGTTCTGTTCTCCTTTGCTTTTTTTCCTGAGTTGGTATTTCGTGCAATTGCGCGATAGATCTTTATCGACGTAAGCACATAGTTGAGCGAGTTAACTACTAGTTCCATTGGTCCAAGTTACGAAGCTAACAGAGTGCTTGTGTCCGCGAGAAAAAAGTTGTCAATTCATTGATTAAAAAAGCAGTAAACCGATCAGTCGATCAATGAAATAAGAAGAGCCAGGATCCGTACCCGGAAATATGGGTAGGCTTCACAGCATTACGACCGTCCTTGAATTACTATTTCCATAGATATATTATGGACCACAATACATTTTTACTTTGTTCGTATCTTCTATGATTATTAAAGAGTTGGTAAACCTCGTATATGCTCGCAGCCAAAGCACATTCGCTTTCGATATGAACATAAACTGGATATATGAAGTCCGAACATAGCCGTTGAATACATCAATAAGATGAATTTCTTACGATTGACTAATGTTCCAAATAACGCAATTCGCGGTCCACCTTCTTTGGCGGTCAGAAAATGGACGTGATTACATGACTGAATGAGACGCCAAATGCAAGCATCGAACTAGCGGCGTTCTGCTGGCACGATATCTGTTCCACCTTTGAGTCAATTCAACCCATTCTCAAGCACATCGTTCAAGTCTAAAGACCAATTTTAGACCACCTAATTGTTGCTACTTTTTAGAGTATGACAATTGTAATTACTCGTTTAATTAGTTCAATGAGATAGGATAAGTCTTTATAGTACACAGCTGCTGACCGATCGTTCAGTATCCATTAGTTTTTGCACTGAGGGCTTTAAAATTTATGTAAGATTTCATTCTTTATTATTCTACGAAGAAGCGGTTAGCGCAGCGATAGTGATCACGTTCATCACACGAGTGGTCCAACCTACTCTGATTGCGTTTTAACCTTACTACACCGCACCCTCCAAGTCTCTGATCCCTCTTAGGTCATAACTCTCAGTAACCTTATCTGGGACAACCTCACTTCTTCTAATCCACGTGGTGACACCATACGGAGAGTATCTCAGGATTTCAGGGAGAATTCAATCGACCAGCATTCCAGGAATTTCGTGACGAATCCGAAACAACTCTCAATCAGCAGCCGAACACGCGCCAAAAGAAAATCGAGGCCCGTTATGGGTGGTGGATGCGAGGAAACGAAACGAATGCAGGCAGTGCTGGGAACCGCACAGTGTGATACATGTGGTGTTGAGTCATTTAATAAAAAATAAATAGGCATAAGGCTCACCTGACGTCGCGAAACTCTTCCTTGTAGGTACCTTGCAAGGAAACTGATGAGTTCCTTCACTCGGTGTACATCGCAAAGTGGAAAATGAGTTGCTTGAGCCACACTCAACAATGACAACACAAACGAACAAAATCATGTATACGCGTATTTGAACACGTCAACGAATTATGTCACATTGGCTTTCTCTCACTTTTACAAGTAATTTCACCTGTCGGTCTTATCGGTCATGCTGTCAAATCACACATCCCATTCCATTGAACCAATCTTGATCGATCGACCAAGATTCGATTCAGCCGTAGGCTGGAAAAAGCTCATGTCATCGACCACGAGGAAAAAGTTTAGCTGTATACGACGAGAACATTCTGAACGAAGTCCTATCCAAACGTGAGTGGCAGATTAAAGAACACCCGACCGAAGACTACGAGCTGCTTGCCGAAGGACTGAAAAGCTGTACCGAATTCATCTCAGTTCGTCAAGCAAGAAGATGTGATTGCATCTCAATTACTACTAAAGAGGTGCTCGAAAAAGAGGGAAACCCTAATGTAACACATTTAACACTGCTATTAGTAAATTGCCTGCTGCAGAAGAGCTTTGCAGGATGATCTACATCGGTACAGACACAAGAAACTACTGGAAGCAGCAAAGAAAAGAAGCAGTCTGAAAAAATACCGTCGGGACTTGTATGACTATAATGTTCCGCTGTCGGCCCCGATGAACGAATAGGAGACCATAATGTTTACTTTTCTATTTACTACGTCCTACAATTTTCACGGCGAGATATTATGCGAAGTCAATCACAACGATGCTGAGATATACTCAAAACTTGGACCCCGTGCCAGATCGAACCACGGATTCCCTTTCCAGAGGCTGGCGCATTACACATCAGCCGTCAACGGAAGTGATTGCTAATGGCACTTATAGATAGGAAACCAGCTGAGAGACACGCAGATTAAGAGCCTCCATGGCACAATGTGTAGTGCGCGAGCTCCCGGAAAGGGAACTCGTGGTTCGATCTGGCACGCCGCACAAGTTTTGTGAATATCTTAGCACCGTTTTGAAGATTGGATAATCAAACCATTCCGCTATGATATGGAATTGATAACGGAAACGTCCTACACCAACCTTTCCCGTTTCACAATCCATTTCCCGGACGCTAATACCCTCGATGGAGAAAAACCACCTGGAATTCTTCCGTCATAGGTTCGAGATGCCATATCAAGCATGGAAAAGGCATATTTCCAAGACCCGATAATATCACCTCCGATTTCCTTAAAGCTGGAAGCCACAATTTACATGTAGTTGTCGAAAACCATACAACAGCTTACATTCGAAAGGAAAAATCCCAGAGCGATAGAGGACGTCGCGCACGGTCATCATGCCCAAGAAAGGTGAACGAAGAAAACTTCGTAGTCGCCCGATGCGCTTGTTGGGTGCGCTCTACAACCTCTTCACGAACACATTATTCTGCGCGTATTAAGGGTATTGGGCGAGGGCCAACTAGTGGATATGAAACACAAGATAAGAAGACCACCGACCCGATGGTCGGAGTTTTTCACGAAAGCCCTAGCAGAAAAGTATGATGCTCAACGAGTTTCTAGAGTGAGCAGAACCCACTAGACTACTCTCACATGCAACGGTGAAAAGTGGAAGAATTACTGGCGCCCACACGAATCACTCTACGACCAGTAGGACTGCACGTGACCTTGGTGATAGTGCGCACAATAACAGTTCTGAATCATCTACTGAATAAGTATAAAAAGTATTTGAAAACGATCCACGAAGTGAGATAAAGCATCGAATATAAAGCGCGCCGAAATAAATGTGCATCGACCGTTTCGGATTAAAGGACTCCACCATAATCTACTGTGTATAATATAACACCTTTATGGAATGTCGTGCCACACGATGTTCTCGGACCTGCTCTCTGGATTAGCAAATGATAGCAGACACTTTCTCTGAGAGATTAATAGGCATAGAAGCCTTAAACAACGACCAAGGACGGAATAAGCTGCAAAGAAATGTTTGAAGTTCAGTTATGCGCTTTCATTACTACTTTAGCTGCTCCAAAAAATTCGAAAATTTTTCACTATGTTTAAAATTATCTATATGTTAAATTAACTTATACAAAGTGGGGTGAGTGTGGAAAGGCTCTCGCCAGCGGCTATTTCAGGAGCGCAGGGAGAATCAACTTGAGCAGTAGTCAACAATAGTTGTAACGAAGTCGAAGATGGTCAGGTAGGAACCGAACCCACAAGAAAAAGCTCATATACCTTCATGGATGGTGGATGTGAGGAACCGAATCAGATGCGAGAAGTGCTGGGATCCGCTCAGTAGATGTGAAAGACGGGTCGTGTGAAAGAAAGGTAATGAGCTAACTAACAAGGAAAGTGGAGTACGCCATTTTCGTAAAACTACGAAAAACTACTCACCCTACAGCAATTGTTTTGATTTTCAAGTATTTTGGAATGAACAAACACAGGTTTGGAAGCCAAAGGTGAACAATGGAGCACAGAAATAACAGAAAGGAGAATTGTTTCATCCAACAAAATATGAAGTATATTTAAATATTTAGCACCAATTCTAAAACAACAATTGAGCAATTAACAATACGCTTTGTTATGGTACTGTTTAGACTTCAAATACTCCGTTGGTTATGCAGGGAATAAACACTCAAACCGTATATAATCAAGGTGAATCGTCAGACGGCATTGCCTGCCTCTATTTCTCTCATTTTAATCTAGAAAGCTCCATTTTTCCACAATCTGATTTTAGGATGAAAGTTGTACTAATCTCATTCATGGTCTTCCGTATGCAAGCAGGGGTTTTACACAGTACTGACCCGAGAGACGAACGCTCGGCTAACGATGATAAATTCGAAGAAGAACTAGAGAGTGGATATCAGAAGCTCAAAGGCGTAAGAATATTTGGGAAACCGAACTTCTAAAATATAATCAGCATGAGTGCGTTCTCTTTCCACCCAAACATATTGTTTTTCTAGGAGCCAAATGCTGATAATACGAAGAGGCTTCTTGAGCAATTGCACAAGATGGAACCAGAGATCAAACAAGAACTCAGTCTATCTCGAGAGCGGAAAGCTGAATTACAGGAAGCAATGCAGGTGAGCACATAGCCTATCGGAGGCTAACCAAGGAATAAACTCGAGTTTTAGAATTACGTGGAAGTCAAAAAGGACAACATTGGTGAAGCGATTGAAGAAATCAATGAGAAAAGCAAAATTGATAGGGCTCTGTTCCAAGGAGACATGCTGCTCACTAGGTTCGTTCCTCCAAATGTTTCTGTTCATATTTCGCTTTGTTTTGTCAGTTACTGTAGTTGTTTTTAGAGAACAAGCCGAAGAGGTCATAGAAGACGTTAAAGAGAACGAAGTCAAACGCAACAAACGGCAAGCATATCGCGACAACAGATACCCTAAGGCACTATGGTCAAATGGAGTGTCTTATTCCTTCCACTGGAACGCAAGTTCGTTTTTTAACCTTTGCATTGTTAATGAGAAACCGCTTAAAGATAAGAGTAACCAAATTCACAGCTGAGTTTAGCACAAGATGCGAGGAGGGTGTTCAAAAAAGCTGCCGAACTCTGGCAGAGTTTAACGTGCATTAACTTTGCCGAAAGCAATACAGGTATGAGAAAGGGACTTATTCGAAATAAAAACCTTAAAAATTTGAATGGAAACTTCAAATCAAAATTTCCAGCTACGGATAGAATTGTCGTTTTCGAGGAGGATGGGTGTTGGTCGAACGTTGGAAGAATTGGAGGCACCCAGGGCCTGTCACTAGGAAGAGGATGCGAGACGGTATGGTCACAGGAGTTAATTCTGGGCAACTTCCTTCTTTGTAGCTGAACATGAAAAATTTCGCTACATAACGTTTCCATTTTGTGCAGGTTGGGACGGCTGCTCACGAACTCGGTCATGCTTTGGGTTTTTTCCACATGCAATCGAGACATGATCGCGATAATTACATTACTCTTTATACGCAGAACTTCCTGGTGAACTTGAGGTACTCTCACCTTAGAAGTGTGCACAAGTGGAAAGACGTTGTTTTAGGACGGCTGGTTATCTCAATTCACAAAACAATCTGAACAGACCAACTACAACTATGACCTGAGCTACGACTATGGAGGTGTGATGCATTACGGAGCGACAGGGTTCGTATAGTACTCGAAGATACCGTACAAAATAACGAGTGATAGTCATCTGAATTGCAGTGTCTCACGGAATGGTCAGCCCGTTATGGTACCGCGCGACATCAAATACTTGCAAACCCTTGGATCACCATTCATTTCGTTCTATGAGAAACTGATGATGAACACTCACTATAAATGCCTCGGTGAGAAGTGCGCCAAATAGAAGTCTGATCTACCGAAATTGTTCTTCATCCCTTCTCCTGAAACCATTTTTTCCCAGAAAAATGCTCTGCGAGTTCTTCGACAAAGTGTCAGAATGGTGGGTTCCCTAATCCAAGAAGTTGTTCTACATGCATTTGTCCGAGTGGATATGGAGGAACACTTTGCGATAAATTAGTAAGAAGTTGAACATAAAAGAGACAGTGTTTTAAAGCACATGTGGACGATCTAAGCCTGTTTTACAGCCAAGTGAGTGTGGTAAGATACTGACAGCAACCAATTCGTATCAAACCCTCGAAGACACCGTTGGTGAGAAAAGTGGAAACTTTGGAAATCATGGAAGAGATGAATATAAGATGTGCACCTACTGGATCCAGGTCTACGAAATTTCAATATTAATTGGTAATGCTAATGTTAAGAGTAGTATTTTTCAAGGCACCGGATGGTTCAAAAGTTGAGGTGGTGCTTGATAGATATCAGGATGGCGTATCTACTGACGGGTGTCGCTTTGCGGGAATCGAAATTAAAACTGGAAGCGATAAGCGTCACACTGGCTACAGGCAAGAGTTTAGTTATAACCAGCGTTTCTTCTAAGGTGCCAATACCTCATACTGTTCAGATTCTGCTCTCCAAAATACGCTGGAACAAAGTTGGTCTCTACACACAGCATCGTCCCTGTGACTACTTACAGCAATGTCTTCAATGTCAAAAGCGTTTTACGTTATCGAATCGGTAATTTTGTCACTAATCCCATTCTTTGAACCATGTGTGCAACCAACTATTGCTATACGAAATGTTGTAGCCGGTGCGGGGAACACGGATGAGGAAGTGGACACGATAAATTCCCGATCAACAGATAGGCCTAGCCCGAACTGTAGAGACAGCAATCTGTATGCATTAATGTATTCCTTCTATGTTCCTGCAAGTTCATAATAATGGTTTAGGTGCACCACATTGAAGACATGGAACTTCTGTACTAATCCGAGATACACCGACAGTATGAGAAGACAACTCTGCCCAAAATTGTGCGGATTCTGTTGATACACGTCAATTTTTTCGGAATAAGAGTAAGCATCATTGCCATCGTTTAATTGCACATCCACCTTTGATATACGCTTACTATAAGTATACGCATATATATATATATATATATATATATGTATATACGTAAATATGCTTATACACCTCACATCTATTGATGCGTATCCAAATGTTTACTGTAGACGTGCATGCACAAATGACGACAAGTCTTGATATGGCAGTTCACTTGCTCACCAACGACCCTATTCCTGGATTGCAAAAGCTCTTGGAAGTGATGCTTTTAC